AGTGGATTTTTGACTATCCGGCTCAGGTTGCTCTAACTGGATCACAAATAGGATGGAATAGTGAAGTGCAGATTGCTTTTGCTCGTCTCGAGGAAGGACTGGAGAATGCCATGAAAGAGTATAACAAGAAACAGATTAGTCAATTGGGCATCCTGATTCAAATGTTGTTGACCGATCTCACTGCCGGGGACAGACAAAAAATCATGACTTTGTGCACCATCGATGTGCATAATCGAGATATTGTGGGCAAACTGATTACCCAAAAAGTGGAAAGTTCTCAAGCTTTCACCTGGTTGTCTCAATTACGACACAGATGGGACGATTCGAAGCAGGATTGTTTTGCAAACATTTGTGATGCCCAATTCGTCTATGCCTACGAATATTTGGGTAACACACCTCGTTTGGTGATCACCCCGCTCACCGATCGATGCTACATCACACTGACTCAATCGTTGCATTTGTGCATGAGTGGTGCTCCGGCCGGGCCTGCAGGGACGGGGAAGACAGAGACGACCAAAGATTTGGGTCGAGCTTTGGGTGTCATGGTATATGTGTTTAATTGTTCTGAACAAATGGACTACATGTCTGTGGGAAACATATACAAAGGGTTGGCCCAGGCTGGGAAACATATACAAAGGGTTGGCCCAGGCTGGTGCATGGGGCTGTTTCGATGAGTTCAATCGCATTTCAGTCGAAGTGTTGTCTGTCGTGGCCGTTCAGGTGAGTAACGTGAGCCAGAATCTTATGGAATCTGGATGCATTTGCATGAGATTGTCAACACTGATTATTACTCTGTTTGGCTCAAATCGATTTGGTGATATAATTGACCTGTGTACGGCTCATTCTAGCGGGTTCGAATTTTAAAACTTCTCTGAAGCGTTATCCAATTATGGCAGGAATCATTATGGAAGCCGTAAACTGTCACCGCCCAGCTGCCTTGTACAATAAGCCTATTCAGCTACAATTACAAATAAGGACCACGACTTAGAACCTGCTTAATATAGTCTGCCTTTTAGCATAGCAATGGACAATTACCACTTGATAATAAATTCAGTTTCCTACCTAGACAACCATGATCCCTCATATGAAGCGGTCCGAAATATTTGTTTTATTCACCAATATGTATTTGTCACCGGTTTGAGCCCCGAGTGTGGAATCAGTGGGCATGCGTTACTGATGATTCCGATTAAGGTTCAGACCGCTGCGCGTTTAACACGTTGACTGTGTATTCAATTGCATAAAACAATAATCTTGTGCATATAAGTACCCTCCTACGGATGGACCTCTTGGATAGCAACGTCAAACGAATTGAACATTGCTTTACTCGCAGACAGTGTCCAATTGTGTGTATATGTTATCCTCTTATTTTCCGAATCAGGTGAAATCGATTCAAGACGCCATTCGACTGAAAAAAGAAAAGTTCAATTTCCTGGGTGAAATCATTCCTTTGGATCCGGCCGTTGGTTTGTTCATTACAATGAATCCCGGCTATGCGGGACGAACGGAACTGCCGGAAAACTTGAAGGCATTGTTTAGGTAATTCTTTTTTATTGTATTCCAACAATGTGATGTCATTCTTCTCGTCGATAGTTTAAAAGAAGCACGTACCATGCTTTATCTACCTAATGTGGATACTTGATTCGTACTCAGTGTTCTCACTGATGAAGGACTCAGTTAATTAAATAGATGACTCCAGGAAGCCCTTATCCCATAGACTTTTACTGGTTTGATCAATCAATTAATCCTTTGTAAAATATTCTCAAAAAATCAGAATTATATCACCGGTTTACGAGCAAGCATGATGCCAATGCAACAGCAATAACAATAGAAAATGGTGGGATTAGGATACAGAACAGGTCGAAAAATCAGCATTTTCATAATATGCGTATAAAAGATTCATTTGTCGACACAGTCCGCACCACAAATTTTTACTTGACTCCCCTGAAGCATTCTGCTGTTCAACCATCATCGCCCTTTCAAGTCCGAGTCTCAGTGGCGATTACATGATACGGTACGTGCATATCTTACTTACTGGCTAACTAGCTTCCTTGGTTGCCTCCTCATTGGAGACCAGCACAGTTATCGAGATTACAAACGGAATTTCGATCACAGTATTACGTTGTTTCAGTTTAACAACTAGCTAATGTCTGCCTTTTTGAAAAATTCCAATGTAGAAGTCACCGTTGTTCATTTCAACCGCATCATCTTGCATTTCTACCTGAAGATTGTTACAATTGACTATTAGTGTCACCACCTGTTCTTTCAGTGTGTTTGCTAACCACTGAAGGTATTGTCCGCTATAATGTTTTATTCTTTGTGGGTCATTTCCGAGAACTGGACCTTTAGGAATTCGGTTACTTCAGAAGTAGTAGTGGAACCGCGTCCCGCATGCCTTGGTGCCGACATTCCGTACTTCACTTTTCTGGTGGCATTGATATGCTTATATAAGAGTTTTGGATTGGGTAAACATTTATGTTTCATGTGAGTAATGGAGGATTTGATTTAATTTCATGTATAGAGCAATTGAAGCATGAACTGAAAAGCTAGGAAACACTGGACATCTGTTTCGACCTGATTGGGTCTCATCAGCAGTGCGAATTTATCGACCCGACTGGGGACCGAACCCGGAGCCTCACAGATAGAACGCAGGTATACTACCGGCTTGACGACCGGGTAGCTGATCAAACCATTTTTCAATTTCCGTTTACACGATATAGCACTACCCATTTGTGTAAGCTTGTTGCAGGCATGTAAAAAGTAGTCAGGTTAAAATTTTTCCGGCCGAGTCATACCCCTGGAGGCTAATTTGAGATGAGCGAGATGCGATTTCCGCAAAACGCTCGCAAAGATGGGTTGAGCTATATCATATATATTCCAAATGAGAAACGGTTTGATCAGCTGCCTGGTGGCCAAGTGGGTAGTATGCACGCGTTTCATCTGCAGGGTCCCGAGTGCGATTTCCAGTTGGATGGATAGATCCGCTCTGCTACTGGGACCCAACCAGGTCAAAGCAGCTGTACGCGGATTCCTAGCTTGTCAGTTCGTGCTTCATTTGTTCTGTAGACACGAAGAAATTCACAATACATTCGATTCAGATCTGATTTTATCTAGCAAGCCGAATAAGTTCTGCTTCTTTCAGTTCTGTTCATCGTTGAGCGAGAGATATCCGTACTCACCGAACTGTTGGGACGAGCTACAGTAAAGCCATCATTGGATGCGGTTGATAGGGAACTGACGAAACGTAGCCCAGTTACTAAAATTTGCCTCCATACCTACGACCAAAACCTCTTGACATTTTGCTCATCGAATAAACCCACGGTTCACGTGATAAAAAGTGCATCGCTCAGAGTACCTAAGTTCGCTCTGGTAATAGTTGCTGCGGTAACCTCTGGTGATTGAGCTATCGTCAATATCTGAGTGATTGAGACCAGCTTTGCGTTAGCTGTAGCGCGCAGTAAACGATACACCAACCTTTGAGCTCATCGACTGGGGGTCAGCCTAGCTATCTCACAAGGATCACTCGGATTCACCAGTCGACCAAATCAACGTCCGTCAGCGACTTCGACAAGATTCAAGGCGGATGCAAGACTGAGCCTGCATCATTTCAACGTAGGAGTGTGAGACAGACAGCCAAGAGTGGTTTAAAGCGCACAAGTAGGCAGCCATTCAAACCCCAGCTCTGTTGGAATGTGATAAGGTGGGCTTTCAGATGCACTGCCGATTGAAGAATTCTGATTGCAATCCTTTACTCGTCATTTGGTAGCCCGCTCTTGGTCAAAGTCCGGCAACCACTGTCGTTCGTTTAGTAGCCTCAGGAAGTACCTTATCCCCCGCTCACTGCATACGGGGGAGCAAACAACTTCCCAACACACCCCTAACGCATTAGATCACAGCACGTCTGACGTATTGACCTAGTTGCATGAATTGTCGGCCTAGTATGAATCACATGAAAATTCCCAACTCGGATTAGAAGACAGCTGATATCCTACTTGTTAACCAAAGTCAGAAATCCAAATTTGTCGGGCAAAATGAACTGACTGGCTATCATTAAAGACAACACCTGAACAAACATGAATTGGCAATTTGGTTCAGCCAGGGCTTGAGTTGGTTGGCGCAGTGGTAACGCACACGCCTTCCATGCGATGGGTCTGGAGTTCAAATCCCGGACAGGACGGTGGATATGCACTAATGAGGCTCTCCAATTAGAGCGAAACTCGAGTCTAGTGCTTCCGACTGTATGGTTGAATCGTTGAACTGAGGATTGTGCCTGAAGGTGAAGTCCGAAGGATAGTCAGACAAATTAATCAGTATCGATCATCCCACACACACTACTCACAAGAAACTGTGAGTTTAATACCAAATTTGATACTCTAAACCAGTTTATGAAAAACTTCTGTTTTTTGAAGCAGCACTGTGAAAACTTGTTCAAGAAGACAAAAATGTGTAGTTCGTCTGCTTCATGCACTGCTTTTTATTAAACACCCGACGAATTATTCAGATCTGTGAACCTCCAGTTTTAAACACCGAAATGATATTTTCCATTAGACCATGAAAATCTAAATAAGAAATCGTCACTTGATTCATATCAGACTATCGGGTCAAGTTAAAACTTCAGACGTTCTGTGACTAGGCGTTAGCGGAGGCGGTGGGTCCGAAAGGTGTTCAGTCATCTCAGCAGGGATATTCACCAGATTGGAGACACAGCTGAGTGGAAAACTCAACTTTTGTTCGTCTGCTCTTTTATGTAGTATACATATTTCACACACGTCTGAGGCCAAACTGTGTGCCAAACAAATCATGTTACCATAATCTTTACAAAAGAAAAACGTTTCATGATTTGCATGTGGGCCCAATACGGCCAAGTTGCCCAGGCGAAGGCAGGTGAATTTTCTTGGGGAATCCACAACGGGAGCCTTCGGCTAACCAGTCTGACCGGCAAGGCAGCGAGGCGGTGTGTGAAAACCGCAATCTACTGGGGGCCGGTGTCCAGTTCATCGGATCATACGCCATTTGCATGGGATCAAATGGCAAAGCATGATCACTAACCCATTAGGCCTCCCTCCCCCAAGCCCTTCTGTATCGGGCTCGAGATATCGACCGTTTCGTTTTGATCTTTCACGAGACTTGAAATACAAGCAACCGTTGTCAAGATGGGTTTAGCAGACGGTGGTACAAGAGATCCCGCTGAATTTTCTACTCCGATGTTTCCGATACGATGACTCACCTAGTGTGCTGTGGGAGATAAGTTAGTCATGGCGGCTACTAAATGATCGGTGGTGGCCACTATAGACGATGGGAAACCCTGAGGTCGGATTTATTACGAATACCCATCTAATCCCATTGCCTTTGTTGATCAACTGATGACTGTCTATTTCCCTCACCGTATACTTGATCAAGAAAAGCGATGCTGACATCATTTGTTTCTTTTTTTTCGAATGAAACAGACCTTGCGCTATGGTGGTGCCCGATTTCGAATTGATTTGCGAAATTATGCTCGTCGCCCAGGGTTTCCTTGAAGCGACCATATTAGCCCGAAAATTCATCACCCTGTATCAGTTGTGTAAAGAACTCCTGTCTAAACAGGATCATTACGACTGGGGTCTGAGAGCAATCAAATCAGTTCTGGTCGTGGCCGGTGCCCTGAAACGTGGCAATCCCGAGCACAATGAGGACTCGGTCCTAATGCGTGCTCTGCGGGATTTCAATATCCCCAAACTGGTCACGGAAGATATGGCTGTTTTCCTTGGTCTTATATCTGACTTGTTCCCGAATTTGGATGCCCCACGAAAACGAAACATGCAGTTTGAGGCGGATGTGAAGCGAGCCACCGAAGAACTGGGTCTTCAACCAGAGGATTCTTTCATCCTTAAAGTAAGTTGATTATCGCCAAACGGAAAAAGATTTCAGTGGTGTTGTATTGGAAACTTTGTTCAGTTCAAAAAGGAAACCACATTGAATCTTGCGTTCTCCTCCTCCTCTGCCCAACGGAAGTGGAAATAACATGATTTATAACGTCTGGCTGTGCTATATCTGCGTGTTGTCTCTGCGGCATTGTCTGTCATCCCTTTCTTCATCATGGTAATTGAAGGATACACTTCCAAAAGACAACAAGACTCGTAACTTGGTACCTCCTTTCAGTTTAAGCTATCCCATTATTACTTGGTGTGAATGTCTTGGAGCTCGAATTATACGCTGCCACCTGGCTGATCAAGCACACCATCGTCCGTAACTGATACAAGCCTCTGTGATATTTCATTTGCTGCTTAGTGGAAATAAGATCAAATTGCCCTCATTACTGATTGGTCTGTTTTCTACGTATGAGTCAGATCACCGAACTCTATAGTGTAGAAGTTGGAACCCACGATCAGAGAACACTCCTGTAGTGATACAGGTGAACTAAAACTATTGCTATACACAAAAATAACCGGATGATATCGAATTTGTTTATTCCCGTTTCAAGTACACAGTCGAACAGAAAAATAAACGTGTTACTCCCCTTATGCGGAGAAACGGACGTGACAGCGACATAGAGCGAACAACTCCATGTACTCAAACCGTCTTTTGTAAATATCTCCCGCATGCAGATATTTATTAAAAAATAAGTTACTGAATGCGTTCGTGTCTTAAGGGAGGTATGTTCCCCGGGCTAGGAAGCAGTCCAGTTCAGCGAAGTCACTACCGATCCCCAATCATGTCAATGAAACAGGACATCATAAAGAATGGGGGTGGGCTGAAGACAGCAGTTCGGTATACCGCAGGTGGTTACCAGCTAAACTTTATCACATTGATGTTTATAAAGTATTCTAAGTCAATTATGGCACTCAGTTTTATTTTATTTTGAAGCTTGTCCGATCATTATGTCGATTTTGAGGCAATAAAATCCACATGGTTCGACTAAATGTGACACAACGATACATAAATATACCATGTCATTTAGAGAATTTGTGGGCTGTTTGGTTATTATCACGACGGGAAAAGCGTAAACTGAAAAGCTAGGAAGTACTGGACAGCTGTTTCGACCTGGTTGGGTTTCATCAGCAGTGCGAATCCATCGATCTGGGACCTCACAGGCAGATTACAAGTGTGCTACCCACTCGGCCACCGGGCAGTTAATCAGACCGTTTTTCATTTTTAGTTTACACGATATACCACAACCCATCTTTGCGAGCTGTTTGTGGGCCTCGCTACTCGCTCATCGCAGCACTAGCCCCCGGGGTCATGACTCCGTAGGAAACTCTGACAACATTCCTGTTGATGCATGAATCAAATCCTCCAATACTCTCATGTAAAATGTTCTTGATCAGATATTGACTGTGTTCTAAAATGGATTTGAAAGTTCTGAATTTAAATTAATTTACTTGAATTTATCTGAAGCATGAAATATTTATGCGTGAAAAATGAATGAAATTAGTCAGAAACTTGTAGGTGAGGTAATGCCTGTAATGATTGTGTTCGGTGAGCATTAGCATCGACCTGTTAGCACTTCAATCACGAAGTTCAAGAAGATTGGAGTATTGGAATAGTATGCGCCGAACTGCAACTAACACACGTTCCGCAGTCAAAATTGTTAGTAATTGATCGAACATTCACAGTATAACACTCAGCAACTGACCAAAGAGTGTGTTCTGTGCCGTAGATCACTTGTCTGTTTTATGTTATATATGACGGAATACAGCATGTGAGGTAAACCATATAATTCAAGGATATGCTCTATATGAAATGCATACAGGAACTTTCAAATTAGAACCAGCTTCTTGATAGTGTATTTGGAAACAAGAATGTTATGGGTCTGGAGAAAAGACTGAAAAGAAGAAATTACCGGGTGTCGTGACTTACAGTTAACAGCTAAGGTTTCTGTTCGTGCCTATGACCTGATTGATTAACTGATTGACTGACTGACTGGCACCCACAACAAACTCTTCTTGATCTTTTCCCAATTGGTTATTTTCGCGTTGAACGATCTCGCTAACTACGTCGGAGATAGAATTCCGAAATAAAAATAAATGAGCAAACTTGTTCTTACCTGTTACGTTTCCTTTGCAAAAGTACGGCCCGACAATCTTGCCGTGCGCAATACCAGCCCATACTAGCACCTTGGGACTGTGAAGCGACTTCGATCCAACAAAGTGTCTCGGGTTTTCAACAACCCAACGATTAGAGCTTGTCACATTTCCGTTCAAGCGAAAAATGGTTTCATCTGTAAAAAGCGTTTGCCACACATCCAAGTGTGTCAGGTTCCATGTGCAAAACTCTAGTCGGTGCTCAGGATCATTGGCACGAAGTTCTTGTAGCCGAGCCTCTTCGAAGGGACGAAAGTTGTTTTCCTTTAAAATCTTGAGCACGGAATACTGTAACATGTTGCATTCCTAGGCAATTTGCCTTGTGGACGTCTGAAGATTTTGATGCACACATTGCAAAACGTTGAATACACCACAGTCATCCGTCTTTGTTCGTGGATGTCACATACGTTCCCGATTTGAATTTTTTGATCAGCGCTCATTTGATCGAATCCGAAAATCATGTCAGAATGAGTGAATCAGTCAGGCCCATCTACACGATCATCGGGGTGAGATCGAAATAAGTCAAGCATCGCTTACTGTTCACATTCGAAGCGATCGCGATTCCGTTCAAACATCCCCTCCTTGTTCGTTCAAAAACAGTCAGTCAGAGCTCTGGATTTACCATTACTCTAAGGCGAGATAAAGCCGGTTGTCGACTGAGTGTCAAACGGTTGATGTATCCGACACATTTCACAGTAGAAATGATATTTGCAGAATGATTTGAACTCTCATACACCTCTTACTGTATTGATCATAGTATTCATACACATACACAGCGACACAGACGTTATCTACGTTTTTTTCAGAATCATTGGCACTTACAAGCCTGTGCGAATGTTTGAATGATAATCGCAGCAGTGTCTCTTGGAGTTGAGAACCTGATTGGTCTTTTACAACATAGATTCGTTTGTATAGTTACTAATTTGGTCATCCCAAGCGATAGTGAACCCCAGATATGATAAAATTTGTCCAGTGCGAGGAAATTAAACTGGGAGAGTAACTAACTTGAATAAACCATACATTAAGTTTGAAAGTCTATGCCTTCAATTGAAATATATATTTACAGGTAATAACGGTTTTGACTTAGATGAAAATATCTGCTGTCAGTCGGTGTGAATTGCCTAAAATCCTAAATTTCAAAATGAAATCGGAAGTGTACAAAATATTTCTAAAGTGTGATGAAGTCCGCGTTGCTTCGGTGATCAGGAATTTAAAAGTTCCCTTTGTTAGACATGGATATCTAGGGATGCCCTAAAGGACCACCTTATAATGCGCATCTTGTTTTGACCCGCATNCACGAGTCAACCGGTTAGTTTTGTGTGGGCCATCATTAGGGGATATTGTTGTCCGTTATTGAGACAAGTTCCAAGTTTCATTATGATTATCTGTGTACCGAACCCGCTTCGAAAAATAATGCGTGTCTTAGACGAGTCAAGCGTTGGCCCAGTGTCATAATCGCTTAAGCATTTTCCATTCGGAATTTCTCACATGGCGCACCGCTCCACAACTGATTCTCTTGTGGTGATTCTCTACCAACATTTGGGCCGCATCGGATTCGGAACATAACCTCCTCCTGTGCCGGCCCGAAAATCGCACGACCGATCGGATTCATTTATCGATCGGTCGAATGGTTCAGCCGCTTGCCCAGCTAGCCCGAGCGAGAAACCACACCTTGTGTTGGAGTGATGGGTTTGGAACGCCACAGTGCACGGAATATGATCCAATCAGATCACAGAAAGGGTCAGAGGGAATTTACTTGTCACGGGCGAGAGGGACGATCGTAAACAATAGAGCGATCGCACTATACTCATTCCGGCACTGGTCTTGGGGATTTATAACAGTTGGAGGCACAATTTACGGGTTATTTTGTTGACAGAATAGCAACTAAGGTTGCTATGGCTATCTTTTACCCTTACAGCTATCGAGAATTGGTGAAACAATGATTATGATAACCTTGAGATGATTCGTTTTCTTACCAGACCGATCAAGTCAGTCACCACTGGGTTCGTCTAAACCTCACTCCATCAAAGACAACGTTCCCGGTGTGCGTATGTGTGTGTGTGGGATGGGGGTGAACAGGCAAACCATACCCCGCCGAAACTTTCATCCTTGCTCGGTAACTCACTCAAAAAGTACTTTTACTTGATCTTGGAGAAATTAGGTCATTCCGACTGGAAGGGATTTTTGATAGACCCGGTTCATCGGGTGACATGTGACGGCCGCAGTACCAATCACGTTGTAAGGTTTTCAGGAAGGCGCGATTGGTGGATTAGGTTATAACAGTTTCACTTTAATTTGAACAGGTTTACGAGAAAAGTTCGAGTGCACGCGTGGGTTCTGGGACGTACTTGGTCGCTCACGGCCAATTGAAACGTGTCGATTCGTGACATTGGAAAGCATTACGCGTTTTTCCCTTCGAAGGTGTCGTTTGATCAGAACCACAATTTCCAGGTCGTCAGTTATTTTGTCAGGATGAGATGCATGATTTACGAGTAAGCAGCTGACGTTCAATTGACTACCTGGCATTCCTCCTTCGTTAGATCAAGCGTAGTGCGCCTGATTGCGCTTAATGTTTTTGCTCTCTCTTTCTCTAATGATTTGACGTGGTTAACACATTCATTGTGTGGTTTGTTTTGATAGGTCTGGTGTACTAGTTTATTCAGTTTAAATTCACATACATATGAGAAATTTTTGTTCATCTCATTTGCAACGAAAAGCAGTCAAATCAATCAATGTGATGATTCTATGATCCAGAATAGGCAAAAGCACTCCTCTAGTTTCTCACTGACGAAGTAATTCCATATTCCATTTCACCTCTTGTAATTAGAACACAGGGAGCAGACCCACACGTAGTAGTACAGGCGGTGTAAATCCAGGGCCGCTCAGCACTGACACTGGGTCACACAGGTCCCATTAGAATCTCTGGAAGGGGACCCCGAGACCTCGGTCACTGGAGGTTAGAGACGCTGTATGATATGGTTGAGTGCCGCCAACAGCGACGCTCGTGCATCTGATCATTATTCTTGCAACCTCAATCTATATGAATTTTCTATCTTCCCCTCGAATGTGATCTCAACATCCCTATCTTCATTCTACTCTTTTATCCAAATGGGCAACCAAAAGATAGCAGAGAAAGTGCACGAAAGTGCATGGTTAATGGCTGTAAAAACTGAAACTGATCTGTGACGCATGAGGCACTATTAATCGACTGATCGAAGGCTCTACATACACGAGTGCGGTTGCGGACATACAGTGGAGCGAAGGTGACAGAGTCACCATCCTAACTTGGCCTGCGGCCCATGTGACCTCGACCATCGTGAAAATCCACACGTTGTCCGACAAGTCCGTTGACTCACGGGAAAATAGCACTGGACACCGCAACAACATCCATGCCTCACTACCAGGCTGGAACAGTACGTAATCATGGCAGTTCCGAAGAGGTCGACGGGACTTCTTGAAATGTTACTGGGACGACTGGAAATTATACGTACTGGGTAAACTAAAAAGCGATGGTGAAACAATCTGAAATGATTCCCGAACAACGTGACCTACAAATGGTGTAGGTCACTACTGTCATTCCTGCATCAGTTTGCCGCAGACCGTCAGAAGTTGTGCCCTCAACCGCAAATGATGAAAATATTTGAATTTCATGAAATCGTGGACATGAACTAGATAATACCTCATACTTCGTCGGGGTAACAAAGACTCTTCTGCACTCGTGAGGTGTGTCCAGCATGCACAAATATCTTTTGTCTTCAGCAAACCACGTAATATATGCAGCATATTATGGAATCTAAATCTAAGGCATTCTCCGTGTCGATATGACAGCTTAGAGGTTCTCCAGTGCAAAGAATAAATAACATTGAGACTGCTGAACCCGGACTAATAGACAGGAACATTACGAAATAATCAGCTTGCGTTAGAAATGGTGAACCAACCAGGGGTTTTAATGGGAGATTGATACAGAGAAACATCTCAGATTTACTGGCTAGTGGTTGAAAAAGATGCGCGCGCCCTATCGGAAAACTAGTTGTACCAGTAGAGGACTGAGAATAAAATCTGGAGAGCTATCAGTAGAATAGACTCTGGCTCCGTCAACCTGGTCTTTACTGGAATACACACGCAAAGCTGTGTGTATGTGTCGTATGTGCGGTGAATGACATACCCGACAGACACAAATTTATCAAATGTAGCTGTCCATTGTCAAAGTCTCCATCAAGTACTGTTCCTAAAACTCGCTCCAATAATTGACATTCAGGATCCCATTGCTGTTATATGCACCCTGTTCTAATTCGCTTGACAGGTGGTTCAGCTTCAAGAGTTATTCGAAGTCAGGCATTCCGTGTTTGTCGTTGGCAATGCTGGAACGGGAAAGTCACAAGTTTGGAAAACACTACAGCATACATTCCGTATAAAAAATCAGAAACCAGTTGCTGTTGACCTGGATCCCAAAGCAGTTACAAACGATGAATTATTTGGAATCATCAATCCGGCTACTCGAGAGTGGAAAGATGGTAGGTTTTCGCATTAGTCACAATGTTTTTTGCTTATGCGGAAATTTTGCAATGCATTCATGTACTGAATGGTTATTATTTTATCTTCTTCCGATATTGGTAACTTCAGTTCAGTCAAGCAGTAGCTCTGAATTGCAAAGTAATTTATGTGATTTTGTCAGATCATTGGTCGAGTCATAAGGTCAAGGAGTCAAAGAAAATAGCAATCATTGATAGAAATACCAATGGTCAAAATCAACATAACCTCGTTCCGGGCCCTGATCTTCAGTACTTGGACATTGATCACTGTTTTACTGTAGCGAGATCAGAAAATAAAACGAAAGCATTTAAAACACAAACGTAATTAGGATACTATTATCAGTTCCGTTTTATTAACTTAATATGCAATGGGACATTTAATTTTTAGGAAGAGGTTGCGACCAATCACAAGCTGTCCGGGGACATACGAACAACCGTGGGAATATACAATCGTTCGATTAGAACACACGGCCTCCGGAACGTTCTGATGGTCACCTAAACCACTTAATCAGTAATGCCCACGGAAAAAATGAGTGAAAACTTCGGGTAGTAGAGTGAGCGGTTACAGTTTACAGTTTGTACAACCATTAACCATGCATTATCGTGCGCCGGTTTTGGTTTTGGTTATGGTTTTGTGAGCTTTTAGAAGCGCGTTTGATAACATGATGCATACTTTAAGGCATGAAACTTACTGGTTACGGAAATTCACTTCACACCAAAACACTTGTGATCAATACAGATGACCAGCGTACCGTAAACTTTAATAACCTTCTTTCCTTCAGGTCTATTCTCTGTTGTAATGCGTGATCTGGCCAATATGACTGGTCCCGATCCGAAATGGATTGTTCTTGATGGTGATATCGATCCCATGTGGATTGAGTCTTTAAACACGGTCATGGATGACAACAAAGTACTCACATTGGCCAGTAACGAGCGAATCCCGCTCACAACTAGCATGCGTCTATTGTTTGAAATCAGTCACTTGAAAACGGCCACACCGGCCACAGTCTCACGGGCTGGAATTTTGTACATTAATCCCGGAGATTTGGGTTGGATTCCGTAAGTTTTGATTGTCTTCCGTATGTCTTCTAAAACATTCTTATGTTGTACACTTCCTGGCTAATTTGTCGTTCTTGATTTGCCATGAAATGCGTTACGTTACTTGTGAGTAGCTATAACGTGTATAGAAGTTTTACCATGTCCACCACTGACGTAACTCGGGTGTCACTGTGTTCGTTATGGTCAAGGGTCCACAAAAATGTTTAAATTCATAGCCTGAATACAATTATGTAGAAAGTATTGTCTAGGGCGGTGACGATATTTCCAATCGGCCATCCATGCCAGTAAGTGGTGACCGTAATAAATGAATCTCCAAACCTGTATGTTCCGCCGTGATCAATCAGTATGGGAAGGGTTACGTTAAACATGATGAGCTGTTCTGTTAACTTAATTGGCAAGGTCACCTCTACTAGTGTTGTGAGATACTACTCACTTGTGAGTAGTACGCAGAAAGATGCGATCGGCGGTTTCTTTCAACGACCAAAAGTCAACAGGACCTGTTGGAGCAAACTGCTGACGTTCGGTATGGTGAATACAAGAATGCGCATCTAATGGTAACTCGTCCATGAACTATCCTGTGTGCATGTGGGAAATCTGCAACCTTGTTCTAGATGAGGTATTTTGTTATATGAACGAAAATTTAACCAAATCTCGAACGCTGTTAGCAATGGGTAACTATCCTCGACCAGCACCTTCTTGTGGAGTTATAACACTAGTACCTTATAAACGATAAATTTTGTTTTACGTGATTAAGGTTCAACGGAGCTGACCGCAGGTAGTCTGATGACTTGAATGTGAATCGAAATGATGGAGTATTTTCCTAGCGAAGAGAGGAGGAAACAATCATTGCATTTCTGCTTATTGATTTTATTAGGCAATAAAATATTTATATCTCTTCAATCAAAATTTAAACCTTGAGCAAATTCGTTTTCATGCAATAGAGGTGTTTTGTCAGGATGAGTTGGAAGCATATACGCTGAAGGATGAGCTGGGGTTGCACGAGATTCGACAATGGATAAGTTTTCGACCAGTTCGAATGAAGTCACGAAGCTTACAATGTGAGTATTAGACAGTTGACAACTGATTTATTTCACCATTATTAAATAAGACGCAATGTGATGTATGCAAAGGCTGCTTGTAGCAAAAAAAGAAATACTGGATCATTCCGTGTGATATAGGACCATGGTTGGGGCACTTCAGATTCCTGTTTCTGTTCCTCATTGGTCATTTACTTTCATCACATTTAATGCTTCACTAATGACAAACGGGAATTCGTCGTGTATGTAGCAAATGAAGCGTGAACTGAAAAGCTAGGCAGCACTGGACAGCTGTTTCGACCTGGTTGGGTCCCATCAGCTTCACTAATGGTTTGAATTCTTGTTGAACGGTTATTCCCCCTACAGTTATGTGCACAGTTGGCTCGATGAACGTGTTCGTCAAAAGAAGACCTTGTCCCGCACTGAACGACCGGCTTTGTCTATCTGTTTTGACAAATACGTGGGTCCGTCACTCGAGGTGGTTCGCTCCAAACTCAAACGTGTCACACCAATCCCTGATCTGGCTCATGTGCAAATGTTGTGCTATCTGCTCGAATGCTTGCTGGACGCGCAACGCGAATCGAAAGACACCAGAGAGTTCACCAAAGAGAATTACGAAATGCTGTTCGTGTTCTGCTGTGTTTGGGCGTTTGGTGGGTCCTTATTCAAAGATCAGTTGGCCGATTATCGGGTGGAATTCTCCCGTTGGTGGTTGAATGAATTCAAGCAAGTCAAGTTCCCGTCCACTGGCGGAGTGTTTGACTTTTTCTGGAGTTTGCAAACACGTAAATTTGAAAGTTGGAGCACAAGAATGACTTCTGTCGAACTGGATCCGGAAGTACCATTGGAGGTAAATAGAACTCTTTCAGTGGTTATCGGACTCCGATTTCACACGGGCAATTAATTATCACTATCATAAGCAACAGGGGAATTGATTCAAATTGCCAAAGAATCGGTAATTTCGAAGCAGTGGCACGATCGCATCTTTGAGCTGTCCCAATAATAGTAAAATTACATTTAATTCAGTTACTTGTGAGTTGTAACATTGAAATTAATAGGATAATTTAGTACCCCCAGATACGAAAAAGCAGAACAATATCAAAAAGTGAAGTTAACCAGAGCCCATTAGAGATTGCCGTAGCTCAGAATTCAAAAGGGAGAGGGGTTCACGAGCTATCGCAACCAAACCTCGTTTTGTGCTTGGTTGGTTTAAGTTACATATGACCCTGGTCCCCACTAACTGCCTTGTTCATTAGAAGCCCCATATTTATCGACGATTGTTTAGTTAAACCAATTTATATGCATTTTCTTTATCTGAAGATATATTTTAATCACACAGAACGACACTAGAGTTGTAATACCTGAACCCGTTTCTTTTTGTAGGCTTCTCTTGTCCCCACGGTTGAGGTAGTTCGTCTCCGTTTCTTCCTCGATCTGTTAATCGAGGCTGGACATCCGGTCATGCTGATCGGGACTGCGGGCACAGGCAAATCGGTGATCATGCAAGACAAATTCAACTCGTTATCGGATGAATACATTGTGAAGAATATCCCGTTCAATTTCTATACTACCAGTTTAATGCTTCAAGAAGTACTGGATAAGAGTTTGGAGAAGAAAGCTGGAATAAATTACGGTCCACCGGGACAGAAGCGATTAATCTATTTTATTGATGATCTGAATATGCCTGAAGTTAGTGCCAACAATTAGTCATGGTATATTAGGATCTTATTGACACTCAGTTATTGAAAAATGTAAACAATAATGTTACAATCTTAACCAATAGTTGATACAGTAATTCTCGAGGACCATTGAATCGATTTGACCAACAGAATTAGACTGAATGTAGGTTTGGCAATGTCTTGAGAGTGGCGTCTTGAACTTTATAGATAATTGACAGTGTGCAATGATAACCAATAAAAAGCTGCGTGTACTGTATTAAGACGTCATTCTAACTCCAAGTAAGGCTCATTGTTTATCACAAAGACAAATAAATATTTAACATATGCATTGAGGTCATTATCGAAGTTCATTGGTTTCTCGGACAGTCACTATTATGCATTCATCGACGAATCATGCAATCAAACACACGTGTCCAATACAACAGCCCACAGTATGTTTACAATCCTTTAAGTTTTCTATCTCTCTCAACAGATCGGTTGAATCCCGTTTGGCACAACCGTTCGATGTAGCTGAGTGTCTCCTGTAGATGCGTTCACACTT